ACGAAACGATCCTCGCTCTTCTCATGCCGTTGTCTATCTTATCCGGTGCACAAATTCGCTTACGGGCGCGAGTGTCATCTCGACTCGAGCCACTCGCTAAAGAGTGATGTCCCTGAACGAGGCTCTTGAACTTAAAGAGGGTACACCGCGCATCCTTTGCTTCGCCCAGATATTGTTACAATCGCACCTCGAGGACGTACCGGTATTATCGTCGATGTCGACTTTATCTCGCCCTGCATATTGAGTAGCGTGCGAACAGGGCGAAAATAATTTTCTCTGCTGCTGCCAGCAAAATTGTCAGTTCCGGACCTCCAGATAAGCATTGGACAGAAATGATCGAGTTCGGTTTGCAAAATCTCGGTTCTTCGAAGGAAATCTACTGGAATGGCAATACATTTTTCCTAACCTGAATTTTTTTTTATTAATAAATAAAAGGTGGATAGTTAATTTATTTGCCTGGATAATTGTGATCGAGAAGTTCCATTTAGCAAATTAAATATTCAGTCGAAATTAAACTTTTATAGGCTATGGAGTGAAACGAGCGATACTTAAGTTTCAAGTCAAACAGAGCGAAATTGGAGAAAAGGGTTTTCTTTTTAGAATCGTTTATCAAAATAGGTATATTATTACTCACTGGATATCTTTGAAACGCGCCGTGAATACGTTACTCCGTAAATAAGTGATTTGATTAGTTCCTTTTATTTTGCGTAGGAGGTGGAGTTAGACGAGGCATAAATTGTCGACGATTGAGGGATTTACGTTGCACCGAGTGTTACAACATAAAAGTAATTATTTCGGTAGGAAATCGTTCTATGACGTGGTTTCGTATCATAAATTTACGTTTTATATCAGCCATGCCTGGAAGCATTACAAATTTCGTTCAATAAAGTCCATACGACGTCTTTATCGTCCTCCAAGAGTAGACCGAAGTTTAAAGTCGAGAAATAGGATAAAAAATGTCATCTTTTTTTCTTTCTATTTCCTAAAATTTTTAAAAGTTCCTCATAATTCGTAGAAAACCGCGATTTAAGATGTTTGGCGATTTTGATAGATTCATATTATGCTCCCTTACGGTAACATAATTTCACATCGGAGCGTAAAGTGTATTACATAAGAACTCCTAACGTTGATGTTGGCACGGGATCGAAGTTTGGATAAATTTAGAGACAGTAATTAGGGCTGTGCATAGATTGTCAAATAACGTTTCCGGTTTGATCCGATTTGAGATCGACTGTTGGTGTCTTCAACGTCGCGGAGACAATCGCCGGCAGCGAAAGGGCGGAGGACCGTTTACATGTCGCGAAATGAAATTTGTTTCGAAAACGTAAAATACGAGCCGTATATCTGGCCGATCACCAAGCGCTGACACTCCGCCGAACATTTTCATAATTTTATCACGTCGTAAATTTTGGAAATTGCTGAACTCCGTGGCCGCGGTGCCCGTTGCGGCGCGTCCTACGAGCGACTTCATAAGCCGGTTCTGGTCCGCAACCTGCCCCTTGTGAAAACGGCCTTAAGGTCCCTTTAGACGGCCTCCCCGTTTAGGAGCGGTCCTAACTTACGATAGTGGTACCTTCGGAGCATACTTTCGGCCCTCTTTTCTGACCTTCCACGTTTCTTTACGCATCAGCTTTTCAACACTGCTAATTAATACGTCCCGTGCGTGTCCTCTAGACCTTCCATGGTTTCACAGCCCGCTCGGAGTTTGTCATCCAGTAGACTCTAGGATATTTATACGGCCACCTCGAAATAGAACCCGTACTTTATACTCCAGATTTCCGATGTCTGGAAAGGAGCCTACTAAAATTTTAACCTAAAAATGCCGTCTTTTACCATCTAAATAAATTCACCGTGTTAAAAAGTTCATTACATTGCAAGATTAGAGTTAAAAATCATTCTGATAATCGGTTACACGAGATGATTGAAAAGGAAATTTAAAAACTAATCAAGGCGATGGATAGTGAAACGGAAAATGTTCGGTGTAATTTTCGAAATGGCATTTGCGCTTTTCCTGTAGTCTTTTTAAAATTCCAAACCACACTAATATATAAAGTAATTAAATTAAAAACTTAGAGTTGGAGTTTCAGTACTTTAATACAGCAATGTTTTAATATTTCTGACGCGTATATTTTCATAACATATACCTTAAAAATTTCAAATATTTCACGGGCTTACTTTCGGAAAATTGATTAGCAATTAAGCATTTTTCGAATATAAGAGCTTTAACGCAAATCGGATTCGTGGAAAATAGTAACCCGCACTTTGCGGGTTAAGATCCGTTAAATAACTCTTACGCTTGGAAGTATCCCTTGCATTACCATGCACCTTCGAGATAAACTCTTTTCCTCGCCTTCGATTCGCCTAACGCTGGCGACACGTTTGTCTTTGAATCCGCTCCATTTAACCCAGTTGTCATTGACGATCATTATTTGGAATCGAAATTTCGCGAAATCGGGGCTCGTCGCGCACGATCCGAAAATGCAGATGCCGGTGCACGGATGCACCTAGGTATGCTTTTACGTATTCACATAACCACGGGGTTATACCTAACGTTGACAAACTAATCCTCCCGGTACCGGGTGGTCGTAAAACACCGTTGACAAGCCGTCGTTGTACTTTCGTGGGCGTTACAGGCGATAAATATTGGTAGGTCCTCTCTCTCGCTCTTGTCATCACCCAGTGCCTCTTTCTCTCTCGGCGTTAATATACGTATTCATACCGCGCCCGTATATACTTACCTATGCGTACGTCGTCTTTATGCCATAATCGATAGGTCACTTTCGTGCTTAACACGTTCGTGCACGACAGGTACGCTCGTGGGAACGAGCCTTTAATTATTAACTCGTTTCGCGAAGTGCTCGCGATTGGCTCGCAGAAGAGGTGCGCACTTTTCCTCCCCCTGCATCTGGACAGGTATGCGCCGAATAGGTACGACATTCGCGGGACATCACCTATCATTTAGCGATAGATACCAGGAACACGGGAATAAGGGAATACGGGGTCTCCCTCGTTAAAATTTCACTCCTGCTTTCGTCGTCACCGCGGATAATTCTCGTTACACCGTAAAGTGTCGTGTTCGCGAGAACTCCCACCAATCGGTAAATAAAGATGTGAAAAATTAATCGACCTACACTATGCGGTCGACGACAAGGTTACTAACAAACAATGTAATAGAATGATTTGATTGATTTTAATCTAAAAATTAATTACGATAATAAAGTGCATTAAGAACTGATATGAAATTAATCGTGCGATTGTAAAATAACGCTAAACATGGTTAACTGGTTTAAATGGCATGACTAGATGCATGGCCGCAATATTCCGATGCTTATGAATTTTCATCGGTATACTTGAAGTCGGAGTAGTTCAAGTAATGTTTCGATACAAAATATTTATCGTCTATTATTTATCAGGTGTAATCTAAATATTGAGCCGGAGTTAATTCAAAATTGCTCTAAAACTCCCCCCTTCCCCGTCTTTCTTGCACTCCCGCCTCTCCCTTTCTCTCCCTCTCTCTCTCTCTCTCTCTCTAGCTGGTCATTTATCGTTTCGAAAAGTGCAAAGTGCTCGAACACCTAGGGAGGACATTCATACGGCTACCCTTTTCTCTCGACAATTACCAACGCGCGCGTGCCCTCGACTCGATTTTTTTTATTTTTTCATAGTCGAACCCTCGACGTTTTCCAATATAAATACGACGCTTCTTTAAGTTCAAACTTAGAAAAACCATTATTTGGAGGTGTTATCATAGGCGGTCGCGCAAGAAATCGCACCGTCCTATATTTCCTAATTAGAATTTCAGTTTATGACATGCTTAAGAGTCGCAGAGTCGTCCAAAATCGTTTTATATAAAATGAACGGTGATATTAATTTACGGCAGATCCTCAACTAGGACGTAAACTAATCGCTAACAATTAACGTTAATAATTCCCAAGCAAAAGGGTGCGATATTTCTCCCGAATACACGAATTCAAGTTATTCCAAAACCGAGATTATAAGGACAATATTTAACAGTGGTCCCTTGTCCCAACGGTACGGTAATTACCGTTCTTCGATTGTCAGCAATAAATTAAAATTTCACCTTTACAGTTGTAAAATTGATATCAATGAGAACCAAAAATATCTTACGTCAGGGTTGAAATAGAAGAATTACATTCCTACGTCCGCGACCCATACAATTCCCATAACAGTCTCCGCGACGATTTCATCCACGATGCAAAGAAAATAGCAAAATCGGTTTAATTACCGTACCTGTCACCGCGACGCCTAAGCACCCCTCTTCATTCTCCTGGACGTAATCGCGAAAAGACATCGATCTCGCAACGAGAAGCAGAATAGGTGTCGGGAGAGAAAAAGTGTACGCGCCCTCCACCCCCGGGAGAAAATCGCACCCTTCGGCCGATCGGAATCTCATCGAAGCGACCCATCGAAAAGGAAGGTCGGGGCGCGGAAGGAGGCTGGCCCCGGTTCGCCAGGGCGGCCGATCTCGTCCGTCGCTTGTTGGGCAAGGGCTCGGAGGAAAAAGCCAGCGATTGGCAAGCCGGGGTGGGCAAAGGGCGGGAGGGCTAGGCATCTCGATCGTCGGGGGATAGAAAATACGAGATCCGCTAGGCCGAGGGACCACCTAGCCAGCCTCCGTTCTTTCCTCGGCGCCCCCACCCCTGCGGGCCTACCCCCGCCCTGACCGGGCGGCGTAGCTCGGCGCGGCGGACGCGCCGGTGGGGATGGCCGCCGGGCGCCGGTTGGCCGGCGCTCTCCCACCGCCGGGCGCGGCGCCCGCCCATCCCCTCCGCGGCGTCGCGCCTCCTCCAGGCATCGCATCATCCGTTGGACGGCTCTTAGTTTCAGGTTAGGAGCCTGCTAGGACGGGTCTCTTTCTCCCTCGAGCTCGCCCGCGCGCGACCGGCCCTCCGGCGCTCAGGCCCCAGCACCCACTCGAGGCGCGCGCCCGACGCCGGACGGACGCATCTCCGACCCGCCGACGGACGAGCCGCCGGCGGTCCAGCGGCCGGAGCGGCGCCCGGATTGGCCCGCTCCGCGCCAATCGCGCGCCCGGTGCCCGCGACGCGGTCTACTCGAGTGTCGGAAGTGTCAGCCCGCGGGGCGCGCAGTGGAGGAGCGAGCGCGTCGCGCCCTATGCCGGGACGTCGACGGCGGCCCGAGCAGCGACCGAGTAACCGGACCGTGCGGTGCGACGACCACGCGAGAGGAACCATGACGCGCCTCGACGCGAGCCCCGCCGCCGCGTGCGGGGGCCGCAGGTGAGCCGAGTGGGTTTCGGGTCCGACGGGGAGCCTCGAAGCCGTCAAAGTGGCTTCGTCACTGGGGCTCCAGGGGCCGTCAGCGCCGATCGGGGCCCAGCTACTGGCTTCCAAGGGGGCCGAGGATGCGGCTGCCCCCGCCGCCACGGTCTACCACGCCAACCTGCTAGCCGGCACCAACTCCTCGGTCAGCGCGGTCCTCCACCAGCCCCTGCCGGACTGCCTCGACTCCCCGGCTTTCGGCGCCGCCATGCAGGCCTCGGCCGAGGCCAAGGCGCTCGACCTCCAGACCATGCAGTCCATGGACTGGCTCTTCAAGAAGGAGAGGATCTACCTGCTCGCCCAGTTCTGGCAACAGGTAAGGACCTCGACGGCGCGGTGACAGGTGGAGAGGAACGCTCGCGGGAGGTGACGAAGGGTGCCGGGTGACGTCTCGTGGTCGGTCCTAGGACGCGGAATGTGGGGTAGAGGTCCGTGGTCGCTCTTGTGGGGTGTTCGTGTTGCAAAATGTGTTAACTCCGCTTGAGACCGGGCCACCGCGATGGGAAATTAGATGCGTTGGGAATATTTTGACTGCCTCGCGGAGGCGATGGAAGGAGTTCAAAGGGCTCGTAGGGGGGCGAGAGGACAGATTTGGACGGTGATCCGGTTAAGTGGGAGAGAAATTAATTTTTTTTTTTTTCCTTTAGCAGGTCGATCGATTGACCCCGAAGAGTCCGTAGAAGATAGGATGTGGGTGCATTTCCCTGGATGAGTCTTTGAAATCCATCCGCGAAGGGACCCAAACTGAGTTCCTCGTTGACGCGTATTTTAAAAAGTCGCCGAAAAGATTCTCATACTTTTCGAGTCCGAGTTATTGCCGATGTACGTTGTTGGTTCATTAAATGTCAGGTGAAATCACTTATCTCTTATGTCGTCTTTGAAGGAAACAACGGTTACTATTCTAGACGTAATGATTCATTTACAGTGGATTATAAAATATGGCGTTTCCTGGTCGTGATAATCGTTACTGGGATTTGCATTTCTAAAAAAGAAAAATATGCCATTGAGGTTTTTGTGACAAACGAGGGACAAGTTCCACGTCGTTTCCTTACTTTTTCATCAACTGTGAGATCAAGGGTTTCACACTTTTATCCCCGTATAAATCGTGAAAAATATCGCAAAAATATCGCAAAAATATCGCCGGCCAGGAAGTGAAATTCTTGCGAAGAAGTTAATGTGCAGGAGTTGGGGGAACGGATCAAATATCGGGGAACGCGATGGAATTTCCATAATCGCCGGGTAATCAGAATTTCGTTCTAACATCCCGCAACACCTTGCGACCGCAAGTTACAAAATAATTAAACTCCGAAATAATTGGCGACACCGCGTAACGTCGGTCTTGTGTGCGGTTGTTTCAATGACGCTCAATTATCCACAAGAGCCCTCGTCGCTAGAGCGACATAGTCGTTCGACCAGGCGTGCACTCACGACGCACGGAATGGTTTCCCGCCTAGCTCGGATCATTTCTTCGAAGCCATTGCAGCCGATTAATTAGCCAATTTAATTAAGTAAAAAAGGTGAGGGGTCCTTTGCGAAAGTCACGAGGGAAGATCGACTTTGGGAAGTTCTAACGAGCGGCGTGATTCTTGACATCAGCGATCTCGCTTTACTCGAAATCCTGAGGTTCGGGTGCAAGTGCAAGTGCATCGAGGCGAGGGGTCGAAGTCGATGAACCTTTGAGGCACGGATTCTTCCGTCTTCCGTCTTCCATCTTCGAACCTCCCCCTACCCCTGCCTCTCGGGGAGGTAAGGCTCCGTTGCGGGGGTACAGTCAACTGCGCCCAAACCGGGCGAAATTAAGCGCCGTTTGCGAGCTACCCCCGAATACGTCCTAAATAATTGAGGATATCCCCGAAGCTTTATAAGATCGTCGGGCTCGATGGCTGAGGGCCGTTCTAAAATTCGATACCGATTCCTGGCTCCTTATCGCGGCTCGCCTCCTCTGCCGGGTCGGGTACGTGGAGCACGCCGAATTCTGACATTCGGCTCTAATTGACAGCCTAGACGTCTTTATACCAATTACGCGGCATAAATGAGGAACAAGAATTGTTGCCGAATCGGTAACCCCTGAAACCTTGTCGGTGTTGGGGAAATTCCTACTTTTGACTTTTCGACGGTACCGGGTCCTCCTGGTGGAGCTTCCCGAGGACTTGATCAAATCGTCAAAGGGATGGAAGAGAACCCATCGGTATTTATTATTGACACCGATCACGGCTTCCATCGCTATGTCCTAGAAATATGCTCAGGGGAACCTGGCACGTTCTTCTGATTTTCAAGTCTGTGAGAACTTCTGATAACATATATGCTATGACCGCCGCAGTACTATAAGTGGAAAGGCGAACCGAAGGAGTTGGTTGTACCTCAGTATTCTAATAATCCAATATTTGAGATCTCTTCGTCGATTCTTTTCCTCGCTCATTCGAGTGTGTTCCCAAGTCGTCGTCTTATATTATTATACGGGATATTCGCCTCGCGAATTCGTCGTTTCTTCCACTGGTCGATCATGTCGAGCGATCGCAACCGGGTAGGAGAAAATCTCGGCGAGGAAAGAATACCAGACCGTACTCGCTCGAGCTCGTTATATTGCTCGACTACTCGTTTCCAATAAAATACTCCCTGGTTAACAACGTGCAAACGAGGTCCGCGCGGTGCCGGTTATAACGCACGCCGGTAGGGATTGTTTGGAGCTCGCATAGTTCCATAATCGCGCCGATGGCTTGGCCGAGGATAATTTATTCAGGAAAAGGGAAGTACTCCCGGAGTGTTCCGATAAGAGTAGCTCTTAGGGAAAGTAAAAGCCAAACTACTTTCAATAAGTTTTATCAGAGACGGTAAACACCCGTCCAAACATATACACGTGAATTTAATGCAGTACCCGACTATACCGCGTCACTTGTTAAGAATGACTTTTTATGTTTTTTAATCGATACCTGAAAACGAAGTTCGGCGAGATAAGAAAACGAGCACAGTATGCGCGTCTAGTAATTGAAAGGAACGTCAAGAAGGCGAAACGTGATATATATCACGCCGGTTAGTCATAATTCCTCGAGTACCCCTACTTCGGGTATCCGATTTAAACGACGAAGGAATTCCGCCAGTTCCTGTTAAGGTTCTCGAGATAATTCATTGATACTCGCGGCAGAAGTCCCGGGATAGAAAATCAGGGCGATCGGTCGATCGTTTTTCCGCGACTCCGGTTTGGCGGAGGCGCTCTCTCTCATCCGATCGGTTCGGGCCGTGCAGAACAATTCGTCGGCGGAGATGCCGAGACCGTATCGGCTTCTATAAATATTGCGACGCCGAACGAATTCTGGGAAGGAAAAAGGGGGATCGATGTCTGGTAAGAAAGGAAAGAGAGAGGTTGACGAGCCAGAACGAGGGAGCGAGGAATACTGGAAACCGATGAAGACGGCGGACAGAGGGGGTCGGCGGAAGAGGACGCGGACCTCCGAAGACGAAGGAGGGGGGCAGGGGCGAAAAGGAAGAGAAAATAAAAGCGATTTGGCACCGCTCGTGTGCGGCAAGTGCATTGGCTCTGGTTGCGTGCATCCTCTTCCCACGGGAGCCGCTAGCTGCGCAATTCACCCGGGTTAGTTCTCCGATCCGTCAGTCAGGCCGAGCATTACCATAAGTCTGTCCTTCGGCCGGGACGTGTCTTCGAGGATCGATTTACGTCCGCGACGCGACTAGCGCGATTCGCCCGGTGACGTCATCACCGCCCCGCGCCTCGCGTACTCTTTTCGCCCGTCCGAAAACTGGACGAATGAAGGGTAAACTTCCCGGCGCCGTCTAATTCCTCGTTGAACTCGATCGAAGGGTGGCACCGATCCCGGAGTTCCCCAAGCATGCATCTTGTCGGTCACGTGAAAGGGATGCCCAGATCTCGGGCAAGCATTAAGAGGGGTAATGCTTAACAAATTCGCGACCGGCAAATTTTTCCCGTTTCAAGTACTGAGTACCGGCGAAAATAATGAAATTCCGAAACTGGATGCCGCAAGCATGTATCGTGTATCGTTATGGACATGATTCACGTCAGCGGCAACCAGGAACAGAACTTGAAAAGACGTGAATTCACGTCAGCGGTCGCGAATGCGTTAAAAGGCACGACTATTCGCGACGTTTTATAAACTGGGGCACGGTTACCTTCCACCGGTTTAAAGTAAAACGGCGATGTTTTATTTCATTTCGTCGTTAGATTTCTAATCTCGTGTAATAGCGAGTCGGCAAATTAGGGTCCTCGACGTCGAAGATCCCTGGCCGGGATCGATCCGGAAAAACAAGGGCGGATAAAGGGCGATTCGCGATACGGACAAGCGGCAGATGTCAAGGAGGGACCGTCGCCATCCACCGAGCGGTCGCCGACTGGCCGAGCTCCGGTCGCGAACTTCGGCGGCACGCGGCGCGCTCGCGGAGCGGAAGTCACGTTGACGTCGCGGCCGGCGCCGTGCGCGGCACGCGTGCGCACGCGGGTCCCGAGCGCCACGAACCGCGCTAAAGTCCCGCCCAGTGGCGCGCGGGTATTCCAGTCGAATCGTGAATGAAGTCGGGGGCCGCTAGGACGGTCTCCCGGCGGGGGAAGCGGCGTTCTCCGAGATCGGCTCCGGCGCCTCGAAACGGTCGGTGCATTTTCCGAAAATCCTTCGACGAGGGAGCGCGTCCCCGAAAAGTCCCGAATCGGCCCCGAGACGGCCGACGCTCTCAATTAGGACGAAGCCAGCCGTGAATGGACAAAAGTTTTCCCGCCACCGGGCCGGGCCGACTCGCTCCATCCTTCTCCCACCACCGCTCCGGCTCTCTCCCTCGTAGCCCCCCCTCTTCCTCCGCCCCTCCGGCCCTTCCGCCCACTCACCGGCCGTCGCCGCCACGAGGAGCCCGCGGGAGGGGGGAATCTCGTCCGCGGTTCCCGAAATCCCCGAGTGGCGGCGACACCCGCCGAGGTCGACCTATCGCTCCGTGAGTCACGAGAGAGACGGAGGTGGGGCATTCGTAAGGGGCGAGAGGAGCACCGACGGATGCTCCCGTGAGCCGGGGGGGGGCTGAGGGGGGAGCCGGCCCGACCGAGGTGCCGCCGGTAAGACGGAGCGAGACGGAGAGTCGGGGAGGGAGGGGGAACGTATCGCGGCGTGCCGACCTCGAAATAGAATAGAGGCTTATTTCGGATGCGCCGGCTCGTTGGTCTAGTCCAGGACCGGTCTAGACCTCCAGACGGGAGTGCGCCGGAGGAGGTCGCCGCGTGCGTTTACGAGTCCCGCGACGGCCGCGCCCGAGAGCCCGTCACTCCGCGCACGAGCGAAATAGGAGGATCCTCCGCGAGGC